GGGGCACTCAATAAGTGCAGTGTTGGTCCAGGGGCACTCAATAAGGTAAAATTAACAGCGCTGCATGACGCGTCGGGACCTGGCGTGTACAGGGGGACTCGCCTAAACCATTTATATTCAGAGAAATGAGCGAGGCTTTGTCCAAAAACCGATGCATTTTTAGCGCATTTTCTCATTTATGAAAAATATTCACTATTTTGCTCGTCATGCCCGTCTGTCCGTCCGTCCGTGACTTCACGTTTTCGTCGACGAGAAAATGCGCTCTCTGTCACTCACTGCAGCGAGTACGGAGTTATATTTTTTTACCTTTGTGTGGGTCATCCTGACTCAGTTTATCCCGTTAAAAGGACGGCGTATCAGTGCTACGTTTGCTATTTGCTGTGAGTGTCAATATTTGTACAATTTGACGCGCTCATTTTCTTGGCTGAGCATCTCAGATAGGCCAACAATAATTAAGGTCTTGACGTTAATAATATATTAATAATTAAATTTAATTATTAAGCGGCAGTTTCGCGTAATCATTAATGTATAAATATTTTTACATGTATTATTTAGTGAAATTTTGTTAATTATTAATTAAAGTTAATTATTAAGCGGCAGTTTTGTGTGGGTGAAGTTTATCATAAATGTTTTGACATATAGAGGCTGGGGTTAGGAACAGCCACTTGCTTTTATACACGAAAATTCTTGCCGTAATTTCGTCTATTCGTTTTTTGAACCTTTATTCCCGGTCATCTTAACCGTACCTATGATATTCGTACCTAAAGGCTTGGCATATACACTTACCAGCAGGTTAAGAGTTAACCTCTAGTCTACAGATACGTTAACCTGTGCTATTCGTACCCAACAACCTCCCGGGCGGCGGGGGAGAGGTAGTGCCCCCCCCCCCAAGAAGGGGGTGTTTTGGGGAGGGGGAAAGAAACCACGCAAGGGGGGCAGGTGATCTTAATATTTTTTACACGTTAAACAAAAAAAAAAAGACGAGGCGTAGAAACAACAAATATCCTAGTGACAAACCCAGCGTCACTATAGTAACATCGATAGAACTTCTAGTGAGATAAATTGTATCAAGTTGCTTAGAAGCTAGTTACTAGTAACTAGTGTCAGCACTAGCGACGGGTATAGGTGCTGCAACACTAGCGACCACCAGCGTCACTACTTGAGAATCCCGTTACTAGTCACTAGAGACTAGTGATGGCAGCACTAGTCGCCAAAGACACTAGTGACTATCGACTGAAGCCGCACTAGTGACTCAAGGAACTAGTAACAAGCAGCGTCACTAGCAGTGACACAATAGACGCCACTAGCTCGATATTTACACAATGGTCGCCAGTTCCATTAACAACAACGACAAAATAAACAAAACTTATCTAACATCAACATCAATTTCTCCTTCCAATGTTAACAATACATTAGAGTAAATACCAATCCAGTTTCATAACATTAAATTGATTCTTTACCCCTAAGTAAAAATATGCGACAATATCAGCAAATAATCAAAATTAAAAACATCGATCCCGATAAAAAATGAATAAGTAAGCCCCAAAAATTTCAATCTCTTCAGTATCACAACATGAACTATTTTCTTTATTTTTTTAGTAAAAATCTACGACAATATCAGTAAATAATAAAAATTAAAAACATCTAACCCGTTAAAAAATGAATAAGTGACCCCCCAAAAATTTCAATCTCATAAATATCATAACATGAACTTTTTTTTACCCTTCAAGTATAAATCTGTGACAATATCAGTAAATAATCTAAATTAAAAACAAGTAACCTTTTAATAAAGTTAAGTAAACCCCGAAAAAATTTCAATCTTTTCAGTGTTATTCAAAACTTGTTCCACTTTCCCTATATTTTGACGCCTTTAAATATTCATCCAGAAATGAATATTTCATTAATATATTTAATATATTTGTGAGAAACAAAGACGGGAACAAGAAACGAAATATTATACATGAATAAAATCGTGTGAAAAAATTGCGTGTGAACCACACAGGGTTTCATTAATGCTAACAAATACAGAACATGAATGTATACAAAAAATTTCTATAAATAAATAATAGATATGAGCATGTAAACATAGGAGGTTTGCCTTGGTTCAATGAACCAGTTTTTTGTGGGGAGATTTGTGAGGGAACCAGTGAGGGGAATGAGGGGAGTGTGAGGGGTGGGTGGGATGTGAGGGGGTGAGGGAATGAGGGGAGTGTGAGGGGTGGGTGGGATGTGTGTGGGATGTGCGAGGGATGAGTGGGGTGGGAAAGGAGTGTGTGAGGGATGCGTGGGATTGTGAAGGGGTGAGAAGGGAGTGTGAGGGATGAGAGGGGAGTGTGAGGGATGAGAGGGGAGTGAGAGGGATGGGTGGGATGTGAGGGGACGAGAAAGGAGTGTGTGAGGAATGAGTGGGATGTGTGAGGGATGAGTGGGTTATGTGGGGATGAGAAAGGGGAGTGTGAGGGATGAGTGGGATGTGTGGGGATGAAAAAGGAGCGTGTGAGGAATGCGTGGGGTCCTAAAGGGTGAGTGTGATGTGTTAGGAGTGAGAGGGATGAGTGAGAGGAGAGGGGAGTGTGAGGGATGTGTGGGGGTGAGAGGGAACCAATGAGGGGAGGGTGAGGGATGAGTGGGGGTGAGAGGGGAGTGTGAGGGATGAGTGGGAGGGTGAGGGGTGAGAGGGAAGTGAGAGGGGAGTGTGATGGATGAGTGGGATGAGTGGGAGTGTGAGGTATGAAGCGGTCATCACACCCCACCACTCAAGTCTGCCCGCAACAACAACAGCAAAGCGCGCGTCAAAACACGTCCATAACACGCACGATCTTGACATAGATATATATACATATACATACTTATTTATACAGCTTTGATTGAAGACCAGAGCGTACTTTTTGTTAACAATTTTCCTAATTTATTTTAAACAATAAGAAAATGTTAATAAAAAGTACGCTGTGGTCTTAAATCAAATCTGTATAAATGAAGAACTTCTGCCTAACTAAACTAATATACATACTTATAGATAGTAATAGAATATACGGTATGCATAAACTATACGGTCACCAAGACAAATGTATGGGTCAATTGTCCAAATAACTACACACTTAATACAGTGACACACTTTCGCACCCGCAACTCAAGCAGAGAACGCACGTAGCACTGATACACTAGGCCAAACATGGGTCAGGCTGACCCACACGTCAAACTAGCAGATTGCTGACGTCAACTAGCAAGGAAATGTACTAGAAAACTAGTGAATTTTGAGTAAATAAAATTCTAGAGTGAAACTAGTAAATCTGCTAGTAAACTAGTGTTAGTGACTCGATGTGAAGGTTATAAATGTTAACTAGGCAACTAGTCTTCTGATAGTGGATAGGCAGATTAACTAGCAAAACTAGTGTCGGATAATAGTGTGCTTGAAAACTAGTGCTTGAATAGTGATATGGAGTTGTAGTTACTAGTCAACTATTGTCACTAGTGAAGTGTAGCACTAGTCAACTAGTGTCACTAGTGAAGTGTAGCACTAGTCAACTAGTGTCACTAGTGAAGTATCGTTACTAGTCAACTATTGTCACTAGTGAAGTGTAGTTACTAGTCAACTAGTGTCAATAGTGAAGTTTAGTTCCCGTTATACTGGAGTGCCTAGTGAAGAAGGGTCACTAGTCAATAGGTGTCACTAGTGACCACTTACAAACTAGTAGAGAGACACACACATGCACGTTCACAGGACACGTACATGGCAATTACGTACACGAAAAATACGTACACATCGCAGTTATGTACACATTGCGCACCATCAACTACAGAACTAATAATAAAGTAATAATGTAAGACGTACATGCTATTCTCACGTACATGAGGCACTCACGTACATGAGGCACTCACGTACATCTGTCTCTTATACACATCTAGATGTGTATAAGAGACAGGTGCTACACTAAGGGCTACTGCCTTGAGGTCGTCCGTCCTACACTAAGGGCTATTTAAGGTCAGGATCTTCACGTCAAGGGAAGTCACAATCAAGCTACTTGCCCATAACCGGGCAAGCAGAAACTAACTAATTAATAATAATTAAAATTAAAACTAAATTTAAAAATACACTAATACGTAAACGTCATTCGATGCATCAGCCTAATTATCAGGTCTTACCTCTTGTTTGTTCTGTATAATGTGTAGGACACACAGAACATACTTGTTCTGTACGATGCAGAGGTATGACACCACACACACACACAACATACTTGTGTATGGTGAGATGCGTGCTGAACACATTCCTCATGATGCAGAAGTATGACACCACATTCTCCACGTTGAGGCGAAACATCCCCAGGTATTGCGGCAGCAACGTCTTGCCACGTCTCTCCACTATAAACTGCAACATCAATGTTGTGTTAACATCAATGTTATGTAGTGCAACATCAATGTTGTGTAGTGCAACATCAATGTTGTGTCTGTCTCTTATACACATCTAGATGTGTATAAGAGACAGCAGAACATAAGTAGATGAAGTGTAGTGCCAGAACATAAGTAGATGGTCGCTCCTGCCGTCTAATACCAGTAGATTTAAAAGTAGATACAAAACAAAAGCCTAGTTCAAGTAGATATTCAAGTAGATACGTAGATACAAGACACGGTTAACACATGCAAGTAATGAGACGGTAGATGTAGTGCAAGTAGACATTACAAGAGCTCAATCTACCTTCATCTACCAGTCGTACACGGAGAAACATACAGGGGAACACACATGAGTATTGTCCGCATGATCTAGACTCCTACCTTTCTAGACGCACCTAGCGTCTAATTTCTAGTCGAGAAACTAGTCTAGCACCTAGTCTAGTTTCTGGACCACTTAGGCATGAACCATTACTCCTAGAGACAATCTAGGGAACCTACAATGACTTGTAAGCTTTACAATGGACATTTTTTACATTTCTATGCCGATTTAGGATGGATATGAGTTTACAGTACAAGTAATTCAGTACAGTACAGTACAAGTAAATACTATACAGTACAGTACAAGTAAATACTATACAGTACTGTGCAAGTACATACTATACAGTATGTACTATACTATACAGTACAGTACAAGTAATTTGTGATGGATATGAGTTTACAGTACAAGTAATTCCTTGAAAAACACTGATCTTAAAACGTTCCGTGATCTGTCCCTCCAAGATTATTCATATGCGAGATAAATATAGACAACAAGGTGAGGATAAGCTATGTACATGTTCTAGAGTACGGCTCTAGATCAGGGCCTAGTACGCCCTCTAGACAACTTTATAGTACGGACCATATGTTATGTTCTAGTATGGCCCCTAGACGCTCTAGTACGGCTCTAGATACGGCTCCTAGACGATGGCTTGGTTCATGAAGTCGAGGAAGCGGCGGCCGTACTGGTCAGGCTCGACGGTCGAGATGCCGTCAGCAGAGGAGCCGTACTTGACCGTCTTGGCAGCCTTGGCAGCTTGCTTCTTGACGCCGTAGTGTGTCAAGACGTCGATCAGCGCCATGAAGTACACCTCCGGCTGGGGGGCGCCTGGGGGGCGGCGAGACGTTAAACTCGTGGAAAAATAAATGGCATTAAATTGTCCACCTCAGGCTGGGGTGCACCTTCGGGTAAGAGAAGGTTGGCATAGGGTAAGTGTAAGGTGCGGACATGTTGCTGTTGTTATTGTTTTCGCTGTTGTTGTTGTAATTTAATTGCCCATCCTGGTAGTGGCTACAAGAGAGAAGTGATAGGTCACTTGGTCAGGCAATAGGTAAGTTCTACGACCATCACTGTTCATGCCCACCACAACCAAGCCAGGTACTCACCACACCCTGGACAAGCCAGGTACTCACAACACCCTGGACAAGCCAGGTACTCACAACACCCTGGACAAGCCAGGTACTCACCACACCCTGCACAAGCCAGGTACTCATTTATCAACCAGAATTTGAGGAATGGCTGAGTTGGCCATGGGCTGAACTTCAAGAAAAAACATGTCCTGCATGGGACTTGAACCCCCAGGTCACCGGGTGCGAGAGAAACCACTGAACCACCGCACATTTTCAGGGGCCGTACTTTCATAGCTTGCCCAAGTATGCGTAAGTTCTTACGCACGCGTAGCTCTTACGTAGTACATACTTATGCACGCATAGTGAATAATTTCTTGGCTGTTATTGGTGGGATAGGCTTGGATGGCCGTCAGTTATTGGCTACGTTGCGGCTACGGGGCGATCCATGGCCCGCACCTCCCTCTCTCTCTCCCACTCTCACCTCCTCTACCCTCTCCCACTCCCACTCACTATCACACGATCCCAACTTTCTTTCCTCACTCAACTGCCTCCCACTCGCCCCACTCACTCTCATGGCTCTCTATGGCGTAGATCTCCACGTCCCCACTCCCCCCACTCCCCCCACTCACTCTCATGACTCTCTATGGCGTAGATCTCCACGTCTTCCTCCTCTGAGTCCCCCGACATCCCCGCTGCACGGCAACATATAAACGTTAATAAACTATAATAATATCTATATATCAATATAGTATCTATAAAATAAACACATAAATAAACTATAATAAAAACTACATATATACAAGATCAACGCGAGCAAAATGCAGCTATAAACTACTTATAATGATATCTATATACTAAAATCTATAGGATATCCATACAATAATAACTATAATAATAAACTAAGATCAACACGAGCAAAATGCAGCAAAAAACTTTAATAAAATCAAGAAAATAAAATCAATAGAATATCTATATAAGAATGTCTATACAACAATATCTATAATAATATCCATAAAATAAAATCTATAGAATATCTATATAAGAATGTCTATACAATAATATCTATAAATAATAATAAACTCTGCACAAAGCAGTAAACACGAACGTATAATTTCAACGCATCACAGGCCTGGAGCAGCGCAATGAAGTGAGAAGATGAAGGCACCGTGCGGATGACAACATGCTATAGGTATAGGCTAGCCTATACCTATAGGCTATACTTATAACCTATACCTAAAGGCTATCCCTATACACAGAGGAATACATATATACACCTATGATATCCACCAGGGTCTGCCCTGGCCTCATCATGCAGGGTCGGACTGGGTCTCACCAGGGTCGGGCCTCACCAGGGTCTGGGCCTCACCAGGGTCTGGGCCTCACCAGGGTCTGGGTCTCACCAGGGTCTGGTTCTCACCAGGGTCTGGGCCTCACCAGGGTCGGGCCTCACCAGGGTCGGGCCTCACCAGGGTCGGGCCTCACCAGGGTCGGGCCTCACCAGGGTCGGGCCTCACCAGGGTCGGGCTGGGTCTCGGTGTTGCCGCGCGTGATGTCGTGGATGCCGAGCAGCAGCGAGTAGTCCATGAGGTGCAGGCGGGTCAGGAACTGGGTCAATGAGGGGTCATTACTTATTCATAATTAATACTAAATAAACATAGCTTATCAAGTATATTATTCATGCCACATACGTCATACTTATCATGTGGTGATAAAAACCGGAATTTATTACTTATTCATAATCAATACTAAATAATCATTGCTTATCAAGCATATTATTCATGCCCCGTACGTCATTCTTAACGTGGGGTGATTAAAACTGCATATTCATTACTTATTCATAACACTAAATAAACATCACTCATTAATTATATTATTCATGAATATTTTAATTATTGTACACCGCGCGCACCTCGACGTCTGCAGTAAGGGTCTCCATTAAGGACTGCTTCGCAGGCTCGCCGATGTGCACCTTAGTGCCGTCCTTGACAAAGTCGTTGTCCTTGAACGTAGGCAAGTCCTTCTCCAGCTCCTTGGTGGACGCCTCCCTGTCCACCGTCGAGCCCTTAAGGTCGTATTTCCTGTAATTAAGGGCTAGTTACTTTAGGTTGTCTCTCCTGCACTAAGGGCTACTGCCTTGAGGTCGTTCCTCCTGCACTAAGGGCTACTGCCTTGAGGTTGTTCCTCCTGCACTAAGGGCTACTGCCTTGAGGTGGTCCCGCCTGCACTAAGGGCTACTGCCTTGAGGTCGTTCCTCCTGCATTAAGGGCTACTGCCTTGAGGTCATACCTCCTGCACTAAGGGCTACTGCCTTGAGGTCGTTCCTCCTCCACTAAGGGCTACTGCCTTGAGGTCNTGTAGTGCAACATCAATGTTGTGTAGTGCAACATCAATGTTGTGTAGTGCAACATCAATGTTGTGTAGTGCAACATCAATGTTGTGTAGTGCAACATCAATGTTGTGTAGTGCAACATCAATGTTGTGTAGTGCAACATCAATGTTGTGTAGTGCAACATCAATGTTGTGTAGTGCAACATCAATGTTGTGTAGTGCAACATCAATGTTGTGTAGTGCAACATCAATGTTGTGTAGTGCAACATCAATGTTGTGTAGTGCAACATCAATGTTGTGTAGTGCAACATCAATGTTGTGTAGTGCAACATCAATGTTGTGTAGTGCAACATCAATGTTGTGTAGTGCAACATCAATGTTGTGTAGTGCAACATCAATGTTGTGTAGTGCAACATCAATGTTGTGTAGTGCAACATCAATGTTGTGTAGTGCAACATCAATGTTGTGTAGTGCAACATCAATGTTGTGTAGTGCAACATCAATGTTGTGTAGTGCAACATCAATGTTGTGTAGTGCAACATCAATGTTGTGTAGTGCAACATCAATGTTGTGTAGTGCAACATCAATGTTGTGTAGTGCAACATCAATGTTGTGTAGTGCAACATCAATGTTGTGTAGTGCAACATCAATGTTGTGTAGTGCAACATCAATGTTGTGTAGTGCAACATCAATGTTGTGTAGTGCAACATCAATGTTGTGTAGTGCAACATCAATGTTGTGTAGTGCAACATCAATGTTGTGTAGTGCAACATCAATGTTGTGTAGTGCAACATCAATGTTATGTAGTGCAACATCAATGTTGTGTAGTGCAACATCAATGTTGTGTAGTGCAACATCAATGTTGTGTAGTGCAACATCAATGTTATGTAGTGCAACATCAATGAGATGAAGCTGTTATAACGTTACAACTTCAATGCTATCTTGGTACATCTAAACCGATGTGATGACATCAACAAATAGAGCCTCTACATTAACAATACAAATACTTATACATAATCATCAATAATACAAATACTTATACATAATAATAAATGGCCGATGGACAAGAGGTTAACAGGAGCCACTGAGCTATTTGGCCATCAGCGTCCGCCGCTCTCATGCAAACAATGAGATATGAAGCCTTCCCCCCTTCCGCCCCCTCCCCCCATGAATGATAGCAATGAGATATAGAGCCTGCCCCCCTTCCGCCCCCCTCCCCCCATGAATGATAGCAATGAGATATGAGGGCCCATACTTTCAAAACTCGCTAAGTGAACGTAAGTACTTACGCTCTATTTTCTTGTCTATGATTGGTGGATGTGGCTTGAAAGGTCGTCAATGATTGGCTGATGAACTTACGATCTCTCAACTTTTTTGAAAGTATAGGCCCAGGTAACCTCACCCCCTCCCCTGGTATTTGCCCTCATCTCAATAATTAGGTGACAAGTCGCCTTTGCTTTACACAGCGTCAGATCACAGACACCTCATGGCCCTCACAGACACCTCATGTCCCTCACAGACACCTCATGGCCCTCACAGACACCTCATGGCCCTCACAGGACACCTCCCTCACAAGCATCTCCCTCACAAGCCTCACAGGATGGTACTGCTTGAGCAGGGCGTGCATCTGTTCGACCTCCTCGCTGGTGAGCGTCTTCAGGATGTACATCTTGTCGCTGGTGATGAAGAAGCGCGCGGCGCTGCGCCCTGGCGTCTCCACGGACACTGGCTGCGACCTGAACAATTGACCAAATTAATAGTTAACTAAAAATAATTAATTAATAATTAACTGTCGCTGGTGATGAAGAAGCGCGCGGCGCTGCGCCCTGGCGTCTCCACGGACACTGGCTGCGACCTGAACAATTAGGAAAATTAATAACTAATATATAATTAATATATGCACTGAGAACTCATGTAGTGGAAACTGGAAAGGAAATCATCTATACGCAAGGTGTGTAAGCTTTCTATGTTTAGTGGGACTTGTAAGTTGGCTGTCCACACCATTATTGAACTAATGTTATTAGTTCAATGAATTATCTATTATTGAAAGGCTGAGATAATTGCTTGGGATGGCCAGGAAAATTCATTGCAACAGTCAGGAAATTTCTTGGAACTTGCAAGAAAATTTATTGGAACAGCCTTGAAAAATGTTAAGAAGTCAGAAAAACTAACTGAATAAACAATGTATAAATAATACAGATAGGGTATCATCAAAGTGAACAAGCAATTGTGAACAGTGATGGAATAAGTACTGGTTGTGATATACATGATCTTGTACAAGTTTATCAACAAAACCATTCAATATACTGTCCTTTACAGAAATGTTTCAACACATAATTGGAATAAAGACTTTGGAATAATCCAATGCACACAGTACATGTATATATAATATATATATATATATTAATTACCTTGTTAAAGATTCCCTGAACTCGTGGTCATCAATGCCGAAGCGCTCCCGCAAGTTTCTGAAGACGATGGGGCAATATTCCTTGACTTTGAAGTGTGATGGAAGGTTCTCCCTGCAAGAGATGGGGTAAGTCAATACTTGGGGCAATATTCCTTGACTTTGAAGTGAGATGGAAGGTTCTCCCTGCAAGAGATGGGGTAAGTCAATACTTGGGGCAATATTCCTTGACTTTGAAGTGTGATGGAAGGTTCTCCCTGCAAGAGATGGGGTAAGTCAATAATTTGTTTGATCATCGGCTTTTCAGGTCCTTTCTTGAATTAACAACAATTAGTAGTTGTGATAATATGATTTTGTTAAATGGAAACAAATAAATGCACTTAAATGTAACTTGAAATAAAGGAAAGAAAGATATGAAGGTATAATATAGATTATGATAGCAAGTTCACTGTTGACAAAATAGAGCAAAATATTACTAATTTCTTCAGCTTCATTTATAAATAAACAATGTTGAGAGGATGTAATTTTTTTTTGACAAATGATGGCAAAAAAATGCCCGAGTATATTTCTACATCTAGGGACCTGAGGAGTAGCAAGATGTAATTATGAAAGCGAGTTTACAAAATGCCGAGAAGTTCAGGATGGTCGAGTGACATTTACGAAATTTTAAACGAGTTTATTAAGATGGCCCTCCCTCACATATATTCATGTGAAGGAGGGGGAAGAGAGAGAGAGAGAATGTAGCATGTAACAGCTTGTCAGTATTCAGTTCACACTGTATGGAACAGTCAGCATTTTCATACATATATAAATAAATATAGATATCTGCAAAACTAAATGGTTACTGAAATTTAAAATGAAATTGAAATGAAATTTAAATGAACACCAAGCAGTGACTGCCATGCAGAATTTTACTTTATTTCTTGATCATTAAAGTTGTGTGATTTTGTAAATGTAACATAAAATGATAACTTGGGTATTGCTTGCAACCAATACTTAGAGACATTTTTGATGGCCTTTTTAACACACTTCCGGTTGATAGAAAGAATTTGCTCTAAACTCAACATCTGGAGAATATCCTTTCTCTTCAATGCAGTGCATTACAGATGTAAAGCTAATAACCACCCATTATACATAATAGTCATATTTAAATAAAGTATTTCACTCATCAAATTAAAAAATTATAAAATTAAATTTCTTTTATGAATAAAATTGTAAAGCCTTTTTTATGTCACTTGGATAATGAGCTATCATAAAATTATAAAGATGTGATCTGATGCAAGATCACAAAATGTCAGCCATGACAGTGAGGCTGGGCGGAGCACAGACTTGTTGAAGAGGTGGTTGTCCACGCGCACTTTGCTGTGCGCACGGAAGTCGTCCGGCATGAGCATCACCGGGATGTTGATGTGCACCAGCTCGTTTATCTGCAACACAAGTGAAAGATGTTGAGCATCACATGAGCATCACTGGGATGTTGATGTGCACCAGCTCGTTTATCTGTAACACAGTTGAAATTAAGCATCAAGGGTAAGCAGGGGTAAGGGTATAAAAATGGGTACATAAATTGCCCATACAAACAGGCATTTAATAATGATATGCATTTCACAGATGCAGAAGCAACAAAGAGGTAAGTTTTTGGTCAGATAAATCTGCACATTATTCCAGTGCAACTCGCAATAAATGAATATGATGTAGAGATCTAAGAGCAACAAGGCTATGAAAACTAGTATTTTAGAAATAAGCAGAATTTCACACATGAAAATGTCAGTGATAAAAATTCACTTTATGGTGACGCCAAGACATTAAAATCTGGTATGAGGCCTCTGTAATTGAGCCTAACTGGCCCATGACTGTGGATTTGTCTATTTTTGGCTCATACACTTGGGATCATGTTACCTAATTGAATAAATAAACAAGTGCACATATTATAGTCAATAAGAATACTAGCAAATAGACATTCATTTCATTACTCAGCTGAAGTTCTTGTATTGAATTCAATATGAAACATTTTGCTGAATTTTTCAGATATTGTGAATAAATATATGTCATTGCTCAGGTGATTTTTAAAAATTACTTCCAAAAATGTAAGGTTTTTTAAATTAGCAGGGGTAAAGGTAAAAAATATTAAGCAGGGGTAAAGGTATAAAAATGGATACATAAATTGTCCATACACACAGGCATTTAATTTGTTCAATTTCATGGATGCAGAGGCAACAAAGAAAGGTAAGTTTTTATTCAGATAAATCTGCAAATTATTCCAGTCCAACCTGTATTAAGTGAATATAATGTACAGAACTAGGAGCAATAGGACTATGATCCACATTCAGAACAAATTTTTGTTCTCAAACTCTTCAGTCAGACATGTCATCAAATTTTTTTACTCTTTGCTTTTTCAATATAATTCAATAGTCAAACAATAGTCAATATAATTCAATAGTCAAACAAATAGAAATTTTTTTGCCCTATCCAAAGGCCATATTTTTAAACAATGGTCTTACACAAATCTTCATATGAAGTAAATCAACACAAAGTATGTAAAAAAGCTTTGCGTTTCCTGCAAGGTTTTGAACTTTGAAAAATCAATTACTTTCATCATTTAAAAAACTTTTTTAACCAAGATATTTGAATAGGATTGTCTAGGGACCAGCAACAGATAGCCTATTATGAGATGAATAGCTATAATTTCCCTATTTTCAATAATCAGCAAAAATTTCCTAAAATCACTGTTAAACACAATCATTCACAGGCAATTCTTGAAAATACCCAGTAAAATCAGGCCATTTTATATTTTACTTGAGGGGCATAATTGGGCTGACAGTGAAATTGTGCCACACTCAGGATGATGTATGTTTTCGGTGAATTTTCCCGCGTATTTTCACTTTTTTTAATCTATTGCTGTGCACAGTTCGCGCAATGTAATGAAAATTGATTCACTTGGCGCACGTGTTCGCGCAATCCCGGCCATCAATTCTGCCGAGTACGAGCAGTTTGTGGAGGAACAGACGTAAGCCGCAGTTTACGATTACCGTACGTTCCGTATCCGCCAAGCGGAACGCGGAAGACGCGCTGCCGCGTTACAGGCGTACGAGCAGTTTGTGGAGGAACAGACGTAAGGCGCAGTTTACGATTACCGTACGTTTCATATCCGACAAGCAGAACGCGGAAGAGTCAGAAGTAACCCGGACATGTCTTACATTTTATTATTGACAGTTCGACTCGCGTAGTCAATATACTCGCGTATATTGTCGACTTTCTAAAGTACGGCGCACGGCGCATTTTTTTTACCAGCATTGTACGGCGCACCACGCAGGTCGTTAAAATGACAAAAAAAATTCCCGCGCACCTGGCACATCTTCCTGACCATGGAAATTGTGCAATACATGGGTGGCTTCTGCTAAATTTTCCACTTTGGCCATTATGCAAGTCCATCAGAATATCAATTAATAAGACCAATGCAGGTTTCAGTTTTAAACAGGACTCGTAGTTATTACAGCTCCACTTTGAAAATTTATACCAAATGATCAAAAAATTGCAAGTAAAATGCATTATTTTGGGCTGGCTTGAAATATATCAATCTTTATTGCTGTGAGCCTGTGACTGGAGCTTTCATGCCATTTTTGGAGTTTTAAGATTCCCACTAGATAAATTACCTACTATGATCCTATCTAATTAAATTGACAGTTTGCAATCTAAAAAGAAGTGACAAACTGACAATGCAACAAAATCATATTATCATGAGACATGATGTCAAATATTTCACTTTACAACTTTTCTCACCGAATGATTGACTCCCCACATGAATACGGACAGCAGGGGCTCATTTGCTCTGAACAACTTCACTTTCTGGTGCTTGACTCTGACGTGCTTCTTCTTGAGCTTAGCCGCTATTGCCGCCGTTGAAGCCATCTTAGACCTACGTTATAATATAAATAATATTTATTTAAATATAAACCTATTTTCGAACTAATCAGCTAATGAGATCGACGAAACACGGTCACAACAGATATTTCATACTAGATTAGTCGTTCTCACTGATCGTCAGAATCAGATACACCTAATATTATTGATGCATCGATAACTGAAATTGTATAGACGAATGAACGCCTAGGTCTGCTTGAAGGGGTTTAATTCTATCTCATTTCGTTCTCCATTGTAATCAAAGGATGCATAATATGTATTCAAAACCATAAAAAATTTTAAGATAAGGCTGAAAGGAGGTTTTGATTCCGGCCAATCCATAACTTTTTGATATTAGAGTAAAACATATGTTTGAGAACTTAATTATTCGTGCATCATTTATTAACATTTAAACAAATTACGGTTAGATTTCAAAACTTCATGGAAGGATGATCTGTTGTCATCACACATTTATGTTTTAAGTCGAATAACAGCGTGTTTTTTTAATAAAGCGTCATCAGAGAATTAAAAAATTAATTTTTGATTGAATTAGGTATATCAAAACTTGACCTTACATGATACAATATTATCACTATCAATCGCCACTCGAAAAACTTCCTTTTAAATTATTAACACATATTCCCAAAATATTGATAAGTTTATCTTTAATTTATCTTATTAATTATTCTATAAGTATACATATCTATAATTACGCCAATTGACACCGCCTCTCACCAACAATGATGGAGTCATGCTTGAACTTAACCATAGATGGTAGGGTCAAGACGTGCCTATTATTAGAAATAAAATTTTAAGTGTATAATGTAGGTTAATGAGTGAAGACGGTGCCAGTTTTGCTCGTGTATTTTCACTAAGAAGAGGCCTACTAATGCACTAATATGTTCTGAATCCGAACATGATCACAGATTTTCTATAAAAAATCTCTTTTTAGCGCATTTTCTCATTTATGGAAAAAATGCACTATTGTGCTCGCCATGTCCGTCTGTCTGTCTGTCCGTCCGTCCGTAACCTCAAGTTTTCGTCGACGAGAAAATGAGCTCTCTGTCACTCACTGCTATGAGTAATGAGTTATATTTTTTATTAGTTACGTGCTATATTTGGCAATCACTTAAGAAATGAAACTAGGCTTTAGAAATAGTTGAAACAAAAAAATCCCCTTTCCTCGGACGGCTCCACGAAGAAGTTACGTTCCCTGAGAGCTTCCCTCAGTAGTTTATCCTTTCTGTAGCCAATGCAACGCCTCCATCTTTCCGTTCTGTAATTCCTCAAATTTCTATACTTTAATCTCGCTCGTCAAGCACAGCTCCGAAATGTTGAGAATAATCGTGGCGCGCTTAGAGGAAATGAGCATTCTATCTCGTCATGCAAGCTTAGCCTGAAACGCTTCCCACATTGTTTCTAGTCAGGTGCTTTTGTAGCTGAAGGTTCCACCTATGAACTCGCTTAATGTAAGTTGCATTAAATTTTTCGACTTCTTCCTTGGCAACTTAAGCACGTAGAGCGCAGTTTAATTCAACACACCAACTAACAACCCAAACAACTCTCGTATCTCAGCACATTAGTCGAACAATAATCATCATGATGGAGTTTGTACACAACCAACTGAAGGTTCCTTTGATGGTACATATGAACTGCAGCTCTAGATGGAGGCATCACAACTAACATTCAGGAGTAAAACTACTTATCGATTCCGTCATGGAGATTTTATTAGAAGATATCAGAAAAAATTCATATTAAATCTTAAATTCATGCATTTAAACTGACATGAATTACAAATAACATTTTATACTGCAAGGCGCAGTAATAAACGAACTTATCCCGATGTCTTAACAAAGAATAAGAAATGAATTAAAAACAGCATTTTATACTGCAAGGCAACAATAAATCTTCACTAGAGCCTTCATAAGGCTTAGACTAGGCCTAGGGGAATGTAAGTCAACTACTTACTCGTCCTTAGGAGACAATTTGACTTTCATACATCATATTTAAAGTAGAAACAGTTTCGTCGGATATAGTTTGGTCTATAGGAGCACGGGTGGCTGAGGGCCAGGTATATACATGTATAGTTTGGTCTATAAGAGCACGGTATATACACGTATTTGATGAAGGTGTTTCTATACATAGAGCACGGGTGGCTTAGGGCCCGGTATATCCATGAGCAATGAGGGGATGGAGGCAGCTGTTATCAGGAGGGGTCTTGGGGTCGGGGAAGCGTGATTTCACTTCAAATTAAATAACTTCACATGCATGAATAAAATCAACAATCGTCTCTTAAGCTCATTTGCTCTCGCCACACCAGAGTTCCCACGTAGGAATGCACTTGATTTTGATTATAACCAACTCCAGGTTAAGGTTTTAACCAATTCCATGTCCGGAATGAGGCACCCAAACACTATCTTGAGCTCGAGGCTTTAATCTAAATCATGTCAAGTGTATTTTCCACAAGTCTGTGACGCTGTGCTGCTGTTGTCACAATGCATTACTTACAATTCAAGGGAAAGTATTGGGCGAAATTATGTGCTTTCGCCGTGTCATGCTAATTTAGAGTAACGAAGGTTGAACGAAGACGATGTCAAATGAGCTAAAATAAAAAGACATCACTCAATCACGAGGGTAATACCATCGTCAGAGCCATACGGTGTTGAAGAAAATACATGAATATTGGATAACAAATAGGATACAATTGAATAAGTCCGGGCAAAAAATTGGGGTTCAAAGCGGGGTTTCCGGCTTCGAAATTTTGGAGTTTTTGTTCACTTTTTATTGGTTTTTTTCTTCCTTGAACTTTTTTTTTGGCGGGTGTTTTTTCATTTGCCGGGTTTTACCATTCACCGGTTTTTTTTTTTTTTTGGTAGTTTCAAATTTTTGGGCTGAACCTTAACTTCCTTATTGCCAAAAAAATGTGCAAAAATTAAGAAGAACTAGATTATGATAATCGTTGGCGAATCCTAAGGATCAAAATAAAAAAATTCTCAGTGTAAGTGCACTTAATATACATTACATTTTGGGCAGGGCACACCGGCACAGTCGCCTTCCTCACAAGCCCTCCCTCCCAGGTCGGCTCCGCTTATTCGCTCATCTTCAGTCAATATCAACATTTTCATCATAAACTTAGGAGCAAAATACAACAGATGCCGCAGCTCTGGTGCTGTGACGGAAAATATGCGACACTATCTGCGTCAGATGAGAGACTAGTCTGCCGCGACTTTAAAACTCGTCTTAAGCAGACATTACTTTCATCCTATGCTCATTTCGTCCAGTGACTCCAGTTCTGCATCTTCCAGTTCTTCATCCTCCAGTTCTTCATCCTCCAGACCTGAATCAATCTGCAGTAGTAGGTCTTCTGGACTCATCTGGTCGCCGATGTATAGTTCGAAACCCCTGTGGGAATAGAGCAGTGTTTTAGCCACGGCCACACTACAGTCACTGGCACAAATAATAACTGCAACAACAGTCACTGGCACAAAATAATAACTGCAACAACAGTCACTGGCACAAAACAATAACAGCCACAACAGTCACTGGCACAAAATAATAACTGCAACAACAGTCACTGGCACAAAATAATAACTGCAACAACAGTCACTGGCACCAAATAATAACTGCAAAAACAGTCACTGGCACAAAATAATAACTGCTACAACAGTCACTGGCACAAAATAATAACTGCAACAGTCACTGGCACAAAATAATAACTGCAACAACAGTCACTGGCACAAATAACAGCCACAACTGTCACTGGCACAAATAACAGCCACAACTGTCACTGGCACAAATAACAGCCACAACAGTCACTGGCACAAATAACAGTCACTGGCACAAAATAACAGGAACACCAATCACTGGCACAAAATAACAGCCACAACAGTCACTGGCACAAAACAATAACAGCCACAACAGTCACTGGCACAAAACAATAACTGCCACAACAGTCACTGGTTGTTCAAGTGCCCCCGTCTACTCACTTATAATATTCATTAAACGATACTGCAGCGCGCGTGAGGCTCGCGACGTGCGCTTCCCAGTAATCACTCGTCCTGATTCCTCCATCCTGCAGCCTCTGCAGGAGATCTCGCAGGTCATCTGTACTCAGTTCCCTCCAAGCTAGAAACAGCACCGAGAACCTGCACAGATAAAGTTCAGCGTCATCACCATCACCTTACAACACATCAACGAATAACATACATTAAAATATTAATGAGTAATTTACAAAATGAACTTGGTCTCAATTTTAGAAAAAAATCTCGAGTTCTCAAAATCTCACTCATTAACATATTATCATCAAGATGCCACTTTCCCGGTGCTGCGGGGAGTTACAAACCTCTTATCTTGGGGGGCCATGAAAATGATGGCGTTGGCCAAGTCCTGCGCGTTGCAGTCATCATACGCGTCAATGTCCAGACTTGGCGGGCGGGTGTAGGAGCTATCTATCTCTATCTTCATTTGGAAGTTGATGTCATCGGTCGCAGGTTTGAGAATTAATCCCCCTGCGTTAAATAAACTGTGATTAAAGTGTAGGCATATAACACAATTATCTGTTACTAAGAATCCACAGTAACCCTTCACCATTCATTGCGTATTTGCACGAAATCATAGCGAGTAAATATAGGGTAAGAGCTCGGCATGAGCACTGGAGGCGAGGACATTAAAGGCGAGATTATTATACAACAAGAACATGTGTGCTGATGTATGGTGTGGTGCAGTAGATGTGGTGTGTGTTGGTGTTTGTTTTCATGTTAAGAACTTGACTCCCTCAGGCAAAGAGGCAGCTATACCTCCAGCATTCCCTGAGATTGCTGGGCTACACTCACAGGAGAACATAGTTGTCTCCGTTGGCATTCCGTTCATAAGCCATTTGATATCGCGTTGAGAGCGACGAGCCATCTCGGCAAGGGCGGCCGCCCCACTTTGCCCCACTTCCCCACCGAAGTCGCTCAGCGTCACACTGTCCAAGAGGAAAATAATCACAAGTCAAACTAATTTGATTCAGTCAGTTTAGATGGATGGATAATGTGAGTAAATAATGCATGTTAATGCTAATCAAACTTATGAACAATAATGAAAAGTGACACTCAAATATAGTACGCCTACAAAATGCAGGAAAAATACACCACGATATATCATAAGCAATTAATATATTATTGCACCGGAAAGGTTCTCACCTGCTCTTGGGCAGCTGCTGGAGCAGGCGGTCACAGAAGGAGCCAGGCTCACAGTCAAGAGAGTTGGTAAGATCAAGCTCCGCACTTCCCGCTTTCTCCAGGAACTCCACCCACTGGGCCTCCTTCTGAGCGAAGGTCTCCATGTTCACCTCCAGAAGCTGAGGCTTAGCATGATGAAGCATCGCAATCACTGCCGCTACGTGGTGATCTGCGACAGTCAGAGGGGGAGAATTAATTTGATACATTATAATATAATATAACCCATAATAACAACATTTAATATGACACCTAATGTAACGCATAATAATAACGTCTAATATGATACATAATGTAAAACATAATAATAACATCTAATAGTCTAATCTAATCTAATAGGGCACATAATTATCACATTCAACAGAGTGCACGTCACTCACCATATTCAACAGAGTGTACGTCACTCACCACATTCAACAGTCAACATGTGTGCTGATGTGTGGTGTGGTGCAGTAGACGTAGCAACATGTGTGCTGATGTGTGGTGTGGTGCAGTAGACGTGGCAACATGTGTGTTGGTGTTTGTTTTCATGTAAAGCACTTGACTCCCTCAGGCAAAGAGGCAGCTATACCTCCTGCATTCCCTGACATTGCTGGGTTACACTCACAGCGGCCCATAGTTGTCTCCGTTGGCATTGCGTACATATCCAAATTGATGTCGAGTTGAGAGCGCCTGGTCATCGCGGCAAGGGCGGCCGCCCCACTTTGCCCCAAGAGCCCATAGAACTTTCTCAGCCTCACACTGCCCACCCGGAAAATAATCACAAGTCAAACTGAATTTGCTTATGAATGATTATGATATGATATTATGATGATTCTGAATGATTATGATATATGATATGAATATGAATCAGTCGGTTTAAATGCATGGACATCTGAGCAAATAATGCATGCTATTGCTAATCAAACTTATGAAGAATAATGAAAAATTACTCAAATAAAATAAACCTACCAAATGCATATATCGGGAAAAATACATCACGATATAGGTATTATATCATGAGAAATACATTATTGTACCTGAAAAGTTCTCACCTGCTCTCGGGCAGATGCCGGAGGAGATCGCCACAGAGGGAGACAGGCTCACTCACGTTCCTAACATCAAGCTCCGCACTTCCAGCTTTCTCCAAGAACTCCGCCCACTGGGCCTCCTTCTGAGCGAAGACGGGCATGTCCACCACCAGAAGCTGAGGCTTAGCGTGATGAAGCATCGCAATCACTGCCGCTACGTGGTGATCTGCGAGATAATAATAAAATGTAACGCATAATAATAACATCTAATTCTAATATGACACCTAATGTAACACATAATAATAACATCACTCGTTGGAGAGTGTCACTCACCACATTCAACAGAGTGCACATCACTCACCACATTCAACAGAGTGTACGTCACTCACCACATTCAACAGAGTGTACGTCACTCACCACATTCAACAGAATGTACGTCACTCACCGTTTACAACTCCCCACGTCTCATCCTCCACCATCATGGCGAGCTTGGCCACCGTCCCCGCGTGGTCAGGACGGCAGCGACCGACGCAGTCCATCACATCTTTGGCTCTGGTGACGCCGGCGCCATACAGCGCCTGCTTCAGCTCCGGCCACCGCCGCTGCAAGACGCTGGTGCTGATGATCTGCACCACGTACAGCAGCACCTCCAGCAAGCTGGTGGAGGCGTTCAAGCAGATGTTTTATGAGGTGCGTAGCGATAAAACTACCAGCGGGGCACGAAAGCGACGCAGGTTTTCCTGTCTGTCCTCAACTATCTCTTGCTCCATAGCATTGCTGCTCACTACTCAAGGCTAATACCTTTGTGTTGCTCACTTTCCTATGCCTGCTAACTTCGTGATAAAATAAGAACTGAACAAAGTTAAAATTGTAATTCAAGTTGTCCCTATTTCGAGATATGTCAAGATCTCACGTAATGATGTGGCTGAACTGAAAATTTAGCAGCTGCTATGAATGATGCCCAGTCACTGAACTGAGATAAGAAGCTGGCTCCGAGCTAGAAAAGAAATTACGTAATGCTATGCCAAATTCAGATCATGAATGATTGTACAATCGCTATAGAACTTGCTAATGTTGTTTAAAATTTCATCCCTAATTCATACAGATGAGAGCAAATACCACAGAACGAAACCAGAAATAATTGAGTCCGCAAGCAGCAGTTCAGTGAACAACGCAATCAAGACTCACGGGCGGAGGTCTTGTGTTCCCTGCAAATGACGTCCTGGAGAAATGTCCCCAAGCAATGAAAAGAGACGCCTCATTGCTTGCGGAAGAAACCTTGCCGGCACTCCTGAGGGGCGCTGGTTGTGATCTCCGTCCCTGCAGCACAGGCGACATCAGTCATCATTGCTGGTACACAACTGAACATTGTACACAACTGAACATTGTACACAACTGAACATTGTACACAACTGAACATTGTACACAACTTAACATTGTACACAACTGAACATTGTACACAACTGAACATTGTACACAACTTAACATTGTACACATCATCACACTCGCTGCATAAGATTTATTACACAGGATGTCTCCAGCCAAGAAAAATCTACGCACAAGATATACCCGTCGTACATATAATGTCTTCTATGTATTACTTTATCAACAATAATCACAAGAAAACTACCTGCTTTTTAAAACACAAACAAGTTCGCTTTTTCCAATACAAAATTTTTTAGAAGAAGAATGAAAACGTGGGCTACTGAAGGGAACCTAAGATTATTCATTCAAGCAAATGTATCATAAATGTATATAGTTGTCCATTCACATTTCATCTCAATCTTTCTATTGACCATTTATCTATGATTCTATTACAACAATTATATTATATTCATCTGTTGCATCAAGCTTGCAGACATTTAATTACACAAGATCATTTACGGTGCACGGCAACTGATAGCCAGCTTGCTATTGGGTTACAATTCCACTGCCGCAATAAACCTACAAATGTGTTAAATTTCATTACAAAAAGATGACAAAAGTTGATGGGCATGCGATTTCCACAAGACAAGAATTACCTTAGGTTGGGAACTCCTAAAATATTCAGAAGAGTTTTTTCAGTGCATTCCAATTGCCTATTTACGTAGAATGCGGCCACAAATTCCTGGATTGACTTATGAGGGAACATATACATCTTTCTTCCAGACAACGATTCCTTCACTCTCAGCACAACGTCAAGGATTACACTAGCTTCCACTTCACAGGCATCATCGTGTGACTTGATTTGCTCACGGCATAGACGTTGCAAGTCCGTGAATTCATCCGGAGTGAAGGTGACTTGGTTGCGGGTGAGGAACTTCAATGCCCACTTGCCAGTGATCAAGAACAGGTCGTCGATTAGAACTTCTTCCTCACTGACATGGATATTGCTGAGCTTTACTCTCACAAGGGTCTTAAGTAGCTCAAATATGTCTCTTGTCACGTCATTGAAGCTTCTCCATTTGTCAATTTTTTCACGAGCTTTCAAAAAAATCGAACAGAAGTACAGCAACAAAATGGGCTCAGTGAATTTTGTTTGTAACTCCCTGTTAAGCTCAGAAAATTTATCTCTCATTGCCTTTGCGGTTTCAGGCTCGATATGCAAACAACGTCCATATCTCTTGATGAACTCCAATTGCTCCTTCAGGTCAGACAGAGGCATGATCTTGTACTCGGTGAAAATGGCGTCTTTTTTTCTGAGAAAATCTTGTAGTTTTTCTGAAGCCTGAGGACGGCTGGTGATCAGAATGCGGGATTCTGAAAGCCAGGTTTTTTCCAAGAGTTCACGCAGAACTTTCATCGATTCTTTGTTGCGCTCGTCGAATCCATCGATGAGAAACAGCACAGGGAGCTGCTGGAGAGCTTCCATAACTCGAGTTTTGTCCTTACGTTTATCAAACAAGCCAGGAAAATGATCCATGATGACTTTATGCAAACTTTTCTTAGTTCTGTCCTGGCACTCGTAGTGGATGAGGACAAGAAATCCCTTTAGAAAATCCGGGACGTCGGAGACGGAAAAGAGTAAGGCTATGTTCTTGAGCAGAGTTGTTTTGCCAGCCCCTGCAACGCCCGAAACAATTACAACTCTATCGTCCTTGTCTAATATTTCAGTGTAAGGAAGCGTTCCCGTATTTTGTTCTTGTGAAGTCACTTTAGGTGAGTGAAAAACATCTGACCTCTTAACCCGGCCAACCTTGAATAGCAGATCTTCTGTATGGTATTTCTGAAAACGATCGTTTGAGAGCTTCTTTGCTTCTTTGAGTATACGATAGGTCACATAAGCCAGGCTGTCTTCACCAAGCTTAGAGCACTCATCTATATCCTTTCGCAGCGCATCTTTCATGTCTTCTGTTTCACGAGCAGAGAGGCCATAAAACCTGCTTCCTTCCTCAATCAGCTCGATCAATTTAGCTGTGATCTCAGGAACCTTTGTAGGATCTTTCAGCAACCAAATTTTATGGAAGAATTCATTTCTGATATCCTTGACAGCCTTCACTTTACTTAGAAAAGCAGTTGAGTCCCTCCCATCATTTCTAATACTCCGGATGATATTAAACAATTTGTCTAATGCCGTCATGTCAAATCCGTCAGGGGACTTTTTGGTCTCAAACTCGTCACGCAAGAAACCGCATATTTTTTTCCAATCATTCCTCGTAAAGGGCTGACCTCGAAGTTTTTCCAGGTAGGTCTTGTAGGTATCATTGGGATCTTTATCCCAGCACTCCAATTCCAGAAATTTGATTATGATCTTGGGGGCCAGCTCCAAAGCAATCACTACTAATGTGCAAATTGTTCTTATTACATCAAATTTTGAGGTAGCCGCGGCTCCTGCTCCAGACGCCGGAGCTCCTGCTCCAGACGCCGGTGGTCCTGCTCCAGACGCCGGAGCTCCTGCTCCAGACGCCGGTGGTCCTGCAGCAGACGCCGGAGCTCCTGCTCCAGACGCCGGAGGTCCTGCTCCAGACGCCTGAGGTCCTGCTCCAGATGCTGGAGCTCCTGCAGCAGACGCCGGAGCTCCTGCTCCAGACGCCGGAGGTCCTGCTCCAGACGCCTGAGGTCCTGCTCCAGATGCTGGAGCTCCTGCTCCAGACGCCGGAGCTCCTGCTCCAGACGCCGGAGGTCCTGCAGCAGACGCCGGAGCTCCTGCTCCAGACGCAGGAGGTCCTGCTCCAGAC